CTGCAGAGGGGAAGGGAGAGAGGAGAATGGTTAGTAAAGAGAGGGGAAAGGAGAGAGGGCAAAGGAGAGAGGGGAAGGGAGAGAGGAGAATTGTTAGTAAAGAGAGGGGAAAGGAGAGAGGGGAAGGGAGAGAGGAGAATTGTTAGTAAAGAGAGGGGAAAGGAGAGAGGGGAAAGGAGAGAGGGGAAGGGAGAGAGGAGAATGGTTAGTAAAGAGAGGGGAAAGGAGAGAGGGGAAGGGAGAGAGGAGAATTGTTAGTAAAGAGAGGGGAAAGGAGAGAGGGGAAAGGAGAGAGGGGAAGGGAGAGAGGAGAATTGTTAGTAAAGAGAGGGGAAAGGAGAGAGGGGAAAGGAGAGAGGGGAAGGGAGAGAGGAGAATCGTTAGTAAAGAGAGGGGAAAGGAGAGAGGAGAATCGTTAGTAAAGAGAGGGGAAAGGAGAGATGAATGGTTAGTAAAGAGAGAGAATAGAGAGAAAGGTGAAAAGAGGGAAGGGGAGAGGGGAATGGTTAGTAAAGAGAGGGGAAAGGAGAGAGGGGAAAGGAGAGAGGGGAAGGGAGAGAGGAGAATCGTTAGTAAAGAGAGGGGAAAGGAGAGAGGGGAAAGGAGAGAGGGGAAGGGAGAGAGGAGAATGGTTAGTAAAAAGAGAGGATAGAGAGAAAGTTGAAAAGAGGGAAGGGGAAAGGGGAATGGTTAGTAAAGAGAGAGAATAGAGAGAAAGGTGAAAAGAGGGAAGGAGAGAGGAGAATGGTTAGTAAAGAGAGGGGAAAGGAGAGACTGGAAAGGAGAGAGGAGAATTGTTAGTAAAGAGAGGAGAAAGGAGAGAGGAGAATGGTTAGTAAAGAGAGGGGAAAGGAGAGACTGGAAAGGAGAGAGGAGAATTGTTAGTAAAGAGAGGAGAAAGGAGAGAGGAGAATGGTTAGTAAAGAGAGGGGAAAGGAGAGAGGGGAAAGGAGAGAGGGGAAAGGAGAGAGGGGAAAGGAGAGAGGGGAAGGGAGAGAGGAGAATTGTTAGTTACTTAAAAGAGAGAACAGAGAGAGATGGGGAAAAAATAATAAGAGAGGATGAGAGGGATATGAGAAAATTGATAAAGAGAAGTGATGAGAAATATGGAAAAAAACAATCCCATTCGAAGGAACACTAGCCTGTTGAAGAAAGGAGAAAGAAGAGAGAAAAGATAAAGACGTAACTATGTCCGTACACGGATCCGGTTCGCCAGTGAGTCAAGAATAATATAATCACACATTTTCATCACAATTCGTCCGTAACTTTTCATTTAGTTGATATAGCGACACACCGAGAAACCGAAAACAACAACAACAACAACAACAAAAACAATAAACGACAATAAAAACATGAAGCAATTAATCAAGCAACCAAGAAACCAACGGTAAACAAATATAAACAACAAAAACACACAACAAATATAAACAACAAAAACAAACAAACAAATAAACAGACAGACAAACAGAACGGCGACAATAACAATAACTCTTTCGTGGAGTTAATAAAACAAGTAAGGTTTGTCAGTAAGGTTAATACGTGGCGGGGGTGGGGGTGGGGGGAAAGGGGGAGGGGGATGGAAAGAGGAGAGAGAGGGAGGGAAGAGGAGGAGAGAGAGGGAGGGAAGAGGAGGAGAGAAGGAGGGAGGGAAGAGGAGTAGAAAGGGGGAGGGGAGGGGAATAGGTAAAGGAGGGGAGGGGGAGGGAAGAGGAGGAGGGAGGGGGAGAGAGGAGGAGAGAAGGGGGAGGGGAAGAGGAGGAGAGACGGGGAGGGGAGGGGAATATGTAAAGGAGGGGAGGGGGAGGGGAAGAGGAGGAGATAGGGGGAGGGAAGAGGAGAGAAGGGGGAGGAGAGGGGAATAGGTAAAGGAGGGGGAGGAGAGGAAGAGGAGGAGGGAAGAGGAGTAGAAAGGGGGAGGGAGAGAGGAAGAGGAGGAGGGAGGGGGAGGGGAAGAGGAAGAGATAGGGGGAGAGGAAGAGGAGGAGGGAAGAGGAGTAGAAAGGGGGAGGGAGAGAGGAAGAGGAGGAGGGAGGGGGAGGGGAAGAGGAAGAGATAGGGGGAGAGGAAGAGGAGGAGGGAAGAGGAGTAGAAAGGGGGAGGGAGAGAGGAAGAGGAGGAGGGAGGGGGAGGGGAAGAGGAAGAGATAGGGGGAGAGGAAGAGGAGGAAGGAGGGGATAGTGAGAGGAGAGAGGGAGGGAAAGGGGGATTGGTAAAGGGAGGGGAGGGGGAGGGAGGAAGAAAACAGGGGGGTGAGAAAATTAGAACGAAAAGGGGGGAAGGGCATAGGAGGAGAAAGATGTTCAAAGGAAGAAAGAGGGAGGGGAGGAGGGGAGGAGGGGAGGGAGAGCGAGTGAAGAAGAAGAGGGGATGGGAAGATTAAAGGAAGGGAGGATTGGCAAAGGAGGAGAGGAAAGAGGAGATGGAAGAATAGGAGAGGAAAGAGGAGATGGAAGAAGAGGAGAGGAAAGAGGACATGGAAGAAGAGGAGAGGAAAGAGGAG